AGTCCATAATCCATAATAACGCTTCCATAAGAGATGACAGGAGATGCACTTCTTCACTGGAGGAAGCGTTATTATGGATTATGGACTTAAAAATATCTTAATGCTGGATGTGTTTCAGCTTTTGTCTTCTCCAGACGTTTCTGAATGTTCCCTGAATGTACCCCATCTCATTATGAAATCTGGTAAAACCTTAAGAAATTTATCTCAAAAGCTAAAACTGTGAAATACCTAATATTATTTAGAATAATTCCAAATTATGTTAATGTTTTTCTATTATACTATTATAGTTTTTGTCAATATTTTTAATTGTTAATTTTATTTAAGTTAAAGTTTTAGTTTTTGTGTGTGTGTGTTTATGTCATTATTAGTTTTTTTAAATACATCTACATAGTTTTCTAAAACTACTTATTTTAGCGCTTAAACTAACTGAAAATGAGAAATGTCACCTTGGCAACTTTTAATCTTTATTTCAAGTAATTCAAATGTTTTATGGTTTCAGTTTTAGTTTTTTTACTTTTAGTTATTTTTGTACATCAAGTTACACTAAAAGAAAATGAGAAATGTTGCCTTGGCAACTAGCTGAAATTAAAAAAGTTTTAATTTGTTAATTTATTAAATTTTATTATTTCAAATAATACAAATGTTTTTATAGTTTTAATTTTAGTTTATTTACTTTTAGTTATTTTAGTACTTCAACTTATATAAAAATGAGAAATGTTGCCTTGGCAACTAGCTGAAATTAATTTAAGATAAGTTTAGCATTTTTAAGATTTTTTTTAAAAACATTTTTATTGGGAAAAAAACATGGAAGATAAGAATGTTTCTTATCTTGCAGGGTAGGTGATCTGGTCAAATTTATTTATATGTATTTATATCGTCTGTGGAAGGCATAGGACCATAAAATGTTCGTCCAATCAAAATGTTCGGTCCAAACATTACGATAGGCTGCCTGTCAAAATATGTATTTGCATACCTCTGCGCACCCTGTTTACACAGAGATGATACGCTCTACCTTTAAGTTATGAAAAATTATTTCTGAATGTTCCCTGAACATTCAAAACGTTTCGTTTTTAAATGTTTTTATTTTGTTTTTTTCTTGGTTATATAAATATTAAGGTAACATTCCATTAACGTAAATGTAATAGGAAGGTTACCTTTGAATGTTCTTTTGAAACAAGTAGATAAAATGTCAGTCCAACTAAATGATTCAGGGAAAAAATCCATGGTTGAGGTATAAATAATGTTTTTGTGCTAAGGTTGTAAGAACATTTTTAAAGACCATATAGCTTTGAACAAATGCTCTGTTAATGTTACTGGACTAACGTTTGAGAGAACCTTGTCAGGACACCAGAAATCAGCTTTTGTGGATTATTGTGATGTTTTTATCAGCTGTTTGGACTCTCATTCTGACGGCACCCATTCACTGCAGAGCATCCGTTGCTGAGACACTGATGCAATGTTGTGCTGCTTCCTTTCCTTTTCCCTGCAGAATGATGCTCTAGCAGCAAGAAAACGGATTTGTTGTCAAAGCAGAATGAGGTCTTGTTTTCAGGTTTCTGCTGGTTAATGTGCTTCTGTTGTTGTTGAATGATCAGATCTGGGAGGGTTATATTTGGGCTGTTTGTCTGAGTTATCGGTGCCGCCGGGCAGGTTTGTATTGGAGCTGTCTGCTGTGAACGGCCGATCGAGTCACTGCTGGATCAAAGCGGATGCAATTAGGGAGTGTTTTAGAGTGTTTTCTGTCTGGATGTGTGGGGTGAAACGCTGCTGTTCTCTTATATGAGCTCCAAGGCTTTTCTAAAGTTCAGGAAAACAACATTTATAGTGGATGCTTCGGAGGCCATTTCAACTGGATTAGTTTGTTTGCTTGTTTCATTTGGACGGCTAGATGACTTGATTGTTGCCTCTGGACTCCCACAGCAGCCGTCTGACAGAACCAGAGGGTACTTGTTTCATTTCACCTGAATGAGACATCTGGAGTATAATAAGAGTTACTCCAATTAATGATAATACATGCGTGGCAACTGATTATTAGACAGTTTGTCTTTCATTGGTTTTATCCTAGCTAACATTTTTTTGGTTAGTTTCTGGTTCTCAGAACATTCCAAGGACAGACATGCTAACATTCTCTTTTGGAAAGTTTTATTTATTTAAATAGAACGTTCCCCTAATGTTCCCAGAATGTTTCCAGTATGTTCCCACAATATTTTTAATTGATTCCCCCTAAAAATGACAAAATGAGAACCATATGGGATTGTTAGGAGAACGTTCTGAGATGGTGCACTCAAGTCATGTTCGGATGGAAAGCTGGTAGCTTCTTTACTCCCAGAGTTTCCAAGTTGGGGTGTGTGTGTGTGTGTGTGTCAGAGAGAATTTTCATTTAAATTTGCAATAAAACTAGCTGCATGTACAAAATATGATAGTATTGTACAATGACTATATAACGATTCAATTCACAGCACCTTCATAAGTTGGATAAAAGCATAAAAAAGCAAAAACAAGTCCTGATGCACATTGTTTTTTGATGAGTTTTTTGTAGAAACATCGCCTACATCGCCTTTCGATTATTATCAAATACATTCATAATAGCATCAAAGGAACAAACAACAACAAAAAAAGAAAGAAGGGGGGAAAAAACTACAGGGAATAACTCAGAAGAAATTTCCATAAGAAAATGATTCAAAATTTCCATACATACATCCTTTTTGCTTTTTTATTTCTTAGATATTTTAAGGCTTCAATGTAATGCGTACTTTTGAACGAATTATTTGAATGAAAGAGTTGATGGCTTGCTTGTTTTGTTCCTGAGCAAATCCTTTTTTTGGAACGAGTGGTTGCATGAAAGATTCAATGACTCACTGGTTTTGTTCCTGAATGAATCCGTTCTTTATTAGGAATCACCTGAATGAATTATTCAAATGACTTCTTGGCGCCACCTACAGGTGTAACTATGTAACCGTCATGGAGGACCACTGTAGAATCTAGTCAAACTGTCCTGTAGTTACTGTGACGTCTCAGTCAGTGTTTTGACATGTTTTTGAGGGGCTTTTATTTTGTAATTTTATCTGGCATTATGGGTGTTGTCTGTCATTTTGTCAAATCCGAATCTAGATTCTAAACTGTCTCTGAACTTTTAAACTGAGTTTTGAAGTATTTCATATTGTGAATCTGTTTTTACACCGATTCATTCATTTGATATCTGCTCGTGCAAGCTCATAATAATTAGAGAAAAAAAAAACATTATTGCTATTTATTATGTATTGTTTATTTAATATTATATACTAAAACTATTATATATTATATTGTTTTTATTATTAATGTCTGTGAATTTGTAGAAGAAACTAAATAGTGACATATGCATTTGCAGTGATGAAAGATATTAGCGAGTCCATGTGACCCGTCTGCTGCCCGAGTCCTGACTGTGTTTTGACCTTTATCTCTGTCTCACATCACACACACTTTTGATTATCATTTAATGAGCTTTTAATGCAGATTCTGTGCTCGTGAAGCGCCTCTGACCCGTGACATTTTGTGCCGGTCGAAGCGAGCGTGTTATTAATAGGACGTGGGTCTGAGATGATGCATATGTTCTCGTTAGCGTGGCCTGTGCCGTCTTTCTCATTGCGTGTTCATCTGTGTGTGTTTCAGGTGTGCATCGTGCAGAAGCGGGACACGGAGAAGATGTACGCCATGAAGTACATGAACAAGCAGCAGTGCATCGAGCGGGACGAGGTCCGGAACGTCTTTAGAGAGCTTGAGATCCTTCAGGAGATCGAACATGTGTTTTTAGTAAACCTCTGGTGACTATCCTGTGCTTCTCTCTTGTCTTCTGCATGTGCATGATGATGGGTTTTTCCATCATTTTTTTTCTTCTTAATTTTTACATATGTGCGACTCCAAGGAATAGTTCACCCAAAAATGCTGGAAAAGTTAAAGATGTAGATGGGATTTGGAGAAATGTAGCATTGCATCAGTGTCTCAGCAATGGATGCTCTGCAGTGAATGGGTGCCGTCAGAATGAGAGTCCAAACAGCTGATAAAAACATCACAATAATCCACAGCACTCCAGTCCATCAGTTAACATCTGGAGAAGACAAAAGACTTAACGTCTTAGACTGTTTAGAGCTGTTTAAACGCTGCTTGATCTGTGCAGATTTCTCTCCTGATTCACACCAGAACACTGACTCACTGGAGGAAGCCTTATTATGGATTATTAATGTTACTATTAACATTTTAATGCTGGATTAGTTTCAGCTTTTGTCTTCTCCAGATGTTAACTGATGGACTGGAGTGCTGTGGATTATTGTGATGTTTTTATCAGCTGTTTGGACTCTCATTCTGACGGCACCCATTCACTGCAGAGCACCCATTGCTGAGACACATTGAACAAACTCGTCTCATCATTCTCAGCACATTTTCATTTAGTGGGGAACTACTGCTTTGAGTAGGATCGATGCAATTACTGAGAAACACCGGTGAACTGACATCTGCTCTTTTTTTGCATTAGTGGCCTCAGGGGAAAAACTGAATGAAAAATGCACAACATGACGCCTGTAAACACTGTTAAACTCTCTTAATCTGTTTAATGTGGCAGCTCGACCTGAAACGAGATCATTCCAGTAATCGCACATATCTGATTGTCTGACGTCACAGGAACTCAGATATGAGTCATGAGTAATAGACGAGTTTATCATCTATAAATAATACCTGTCGTTTAGTGCTCAAGCGGCCCATATGGGTGGAAGCATCAGCGCCGCATCCACCTGTCTGGATCCACAGCTGCGCGCCTGACAGAAACCACACCGTGTGGAGAAATAAACTTCATCAGAGAGAGAATCAAAAATCAAAGCATCTGTCTGCTTTTCGTTCCTGATCACTGCCAACCCGAGAGCATGGAAGCTCTTCTCCAGCACTGAATACAAATGAAATTTGGACTTTTTATCATGCAATTCTGACTTTTTTTCTCAGAATTGCATGATAGAAACTCTATCCAGCCTGCAGTTCTGACATGCAATAATGAGTTTACATCATGCAATTCTGAGAAAAAAAGTCAGAATGTGAGTGTGTGTGTGTGTGTGTGTGTGTGTGTGTGTCTGTGAGTGTGTGTGTGTGTGTGTGCGTGTGTCTGTGTCTGTGTCTGTGTGTGTTTGAGTTTGTGTGTGTGTGGGTTTGAAGTTCTTGAAGGACAGTAACGCTTTGTTGAACATTGAAGTATGTGACGTAGGGAAGGACAGTTTGACATTGACAACTTCATCTCAACACACAGTGTATGTATAATGATTGTTTTGAAGCAGAGAGGATTTTCTCTTTTCTCTCAGAAGCAGCTTTCATGTGTCTCTCCTGAAAACACTGAGCTTTGAAAAGCCGCGTCTCTGTAAGTCAGAGGAGCTTGTGCTGTAGGCTGGGAAATAAAGAGGGCTTCCTCCTCCTCACAGGAAGCACAGAGTCTCTTTAAGCCTTTAGAATGTCACGTCTGCAGAAAGTCGTAATTACTGTATCCATTCACCCGCTCTGAGTCATGAAGCAGCAGGAGAACGGCTCCGTCACATAAACACACCGAACACCTCCATCAGGTCAGACCTGAGCGAACGAACATCACATAAACAATCATCTGACTGATGAATCACACACCAGATCTCACTTATGACGCAATATCAAATCCTCAAATGGTCTGAGCTGCTGTCTTTATTTCAATTTAAAATATTTATTGGAATAATTTATTTTAGTTAGTTAATAAGTTATTTTAGTATCATTGAGATACTATTATATTTTTTATGAATCATTTTTATATTTTCAGTTTTCATTTAAATTTTACTTAAAATTTTTGTAATTTTTTTAATTGTGTTTTTGTCGCTTTTATTAGTTGTTTTTCTTTAAATATGTCTGTATTTTTTTTTATACATTTTTATTTCCGTTTTAGTTATTTTAGTACATAAAAATGAGAAATGTTGTGTTGGCAACTAAATGAAACGAGTATGTTTTTTGTGTTTTTTTACATATTTTATTTTATTTCTGAATAACATTTTTATTTTTTTAATTATTAATATTTTTTTAATTTAGCTGTTTTTGTCAATTTTATTCGTTTAAAAAAAAAATGTCTAAATAGTTTTCATTTATTTTATTATTTAGTTTTAGTTGGTTTAATACATCAAGATAAATGAAAATGAGAAGTGTTGGCAACTAGCTGCAATCAAATTTGTTTTCTATATTTTATTTCAGTTGACGTATATTTTTATATTTTAAATAATGAAAGAAAGAAAAATAAATGTACAATATAACAATAACAAATCAAATTAAAAAATAGTATTAAAGTATATATATATACACTGTATATATATATATATATATACAGTGGGGGAAAAAAAGTATTTAGTCAGCCACCAATTGTGCAAGTTCTCCCACTTAAAAAGATGAGAGAGGCCTGTAATTTTCATCATAGGTATACCTCAACTATGAGAGACAAAATGAGAAAAAAAAATCCAGAAAATCACATTGTAGGATTTTTAAAGAATTTATTTGCAAATTAAGGTGGAAAATAAGTATTTGGTCAATAACAAAATTTCATCTCAATACTTTGTTATATACACTTTGTTGGCAATGACAGAGGTCAAACATTTTCTGTAAGTCTTCACAAGGTTTTCACACACGGTTGCTGGTATTTTGGCCCATTCCTCAAGAGCAGTAATGTTTTGGGGCTGTCGCTGGGCAACACAGATTTTCAACCCCCTCCAAAGATTTTCTATGGGGTTGAGATCTGGAGACTGGCTAGGCCACTCCAGGACCTTGAAATGCTTCTTACGAAGCCACTCCTTCGTTGCCCGGGCGGTGTGTTTGGGATCATTGTCATGCTGAAAGACCCAGCCACATTTCATCTTCAATGCCCCTGCTGATGGAAGGAGGTTTTCACTCAAAATCTCACGATACATGGCCCCATTCATTCTTTCGTTTACACGGATCAGTCGTCCTGGTCCCTTTGCAGAAAAACAGCCCCAAAGCATGATGTTTCCACCCCCATGCTTCACAGTAGGTATGGTGTTCTTTGGATGCAACTCAGCATTCTTTCTCCTCCAAACACGACAAGTTGAGTTTTTACCAAAAAGTTATATTTTGGTTTCATCTGACCATATGACATTCTCCCAATCCTCTTCTGGATCATCCAAATGCTCTCCAGCAAACTTCAGACGGGCCTGGACATGTACTGGCTTAAGCAGGGGGACACATCTGGCACTGCAGGATTTGAGTCCCTGGCAGCGCAGTGTGTTACTGATGTAGCCTTTGTTACTTTGGTCCCAGCTCTCTGCAGGTCATTCACTAGGTCCCCCCGTGTGGTTCTGGGATTTTTGCTCACAGTTCTTGTGATCATTTTGACCCCACAGGGTGAGATCTTGCGTGGAGCCCCAGATCAAGGGAGATTATCAGTGGTCTTGTATGTCTTCCATTTTCTAATAAGTGCTCCCACAGTTGATTTCTTCACACCAAGCTGCTTACCTATTGCAGATTCAGTCTTCCCAGCCTGGTGCAAGTCTACAATTTTGTTTCTGGTGTCCTTTGACAGCTCTTTGGTCTTGGCCATGGTGGAGTTTGGAGTGTGACTGTTTGAGGTTGTGGACAGGTGTCTTTTATACTGATAACGAGTTCAAACAGATGCCATTAATACAGGTAACGAGTGGAGGACAGAGGAGCCTCTTAAAGAAGAAGTTACAGGTCTGTGAGAGCCAGAAATCTTGCTTGTTTGTAGGTGACCAAATACTTATTTTCCACCATAATTTGCAAATTAATTCTTTAAAAATCCTACAATGTGATTTTCTGGATTTTTTTTTCTCATTTTGTCTCTCATAGTTGAGGTATACCTACGATGAAAATTACAGGCCTCTCTCATCTTTTTAAGTGGGAGAACTTGCACAATTGGTGGCTGACTAAATACTTTTTTGCCCCACTGTATATATATAAAATACACATTAGACATTATGAAGACCAAAAATACTTTAAAGGGGTCAAGAACGGAGAAACCAAAATTCCCTTGATTTTTTTTTTTTACATATAAGAGGTAATTGTTCTATAAAAACATCCTGTAAGTTTCAGAACTCAAAACTCTCTTGTTAGTCTAAAAACCACTTATATTGAAGGCAGTCTGCTAACCTGTGGAATGTTCTACTCTATGATGTAATAGTGTGGATAAGCACCGCCTCCGCAGAAAAAGATGCGTCATAAAGTGAATCCCTCGACATCACTGCCTGTTTAGCCCCGCCCACCGATCCTACAGCTACAGCACTGGCCCCGCCCACCGATTCTACAGCGCAGCCTGTTTAGCCCCGCCCACCGATTCTACAGCGCAGCCTGTTTACCTGTTTAGACTAATCCTACAGCACTGCCTGTTTAGCCCCGCCCACAGATCCTACAGCACTGCCTGTTTAGCCCCGCCCACAGATCCTACAGCACTGCCTGTTTAGCCCCGCCCACAGATCCTACAGCACTGCCTGTTTAGCCCCGCCCACCGATTCTACAGCGCAGCCTGTTTAGCACCGCCCACTAATCCTACAGCACTGCCTGTTTAGCCCCGCCCACAGATCCTACAGCACTGCCTGTTTAGCCCCGCCCACAGATCCTACAGCACTGCCTGTTTAGCCCCGCCCACAGATCCTACAGCACTGCCTGTTTAGCCCCGCCCACCGATTCTACAGC